TTTTATTGATATTTTTACAGAGAGGAAGGGAGAGAGATAGAGAGTTAGAAACATCGATGAGAGAGAAACATCGATCAGCTGCCTCCTGCACATCTCCCACTGGGGATATGCCCGCAACCCAGGTACATGCCCTTGACCGGAATTGAACCTGGGACCTTCCAGTCCGCAGGCCGACGCTCTATCCACTGAGCCAAGCCGGTTTCGGCGGATTGGTCACTTCTGTTCCCGTTCATATTATTACTTTTGTCATACTGAACACACTAAGAAATTGCCTTTCGAGTAATAAGTGCAGCAGTTTTTATAAGGTATGGCAACATGTAGAAAATGGAATTTTGGGTTATTAATGTCAAGAATGTTTTCTGCCCTGGCTGGCTTGGCTCAGTGGATAGAGCATCAGCCTGCAGACTGAGGGGTCCCAGGTTTAATTCCAGTCAAGGGCACGTGCCCAGCTGGGACATGCAGGAGGCAGCCAATCAGTGATTCTCTTTCATCATTGATGTTTCTATCTCGCACTCCCTGAAATCAATAAAAATATATTTAAAAAAGAATGTTTTCTGCCATCTTGATAGAGTTGATACTTGTTCCTATAGGTTTCTTAATTTTTCTATAGTGAGAGAGAAAGTAAGGTATCATTGCTGAAGGGCCAAACTAATAACCTCTTGGTAAAGTTTATTGCAAGTAAAATCTCTCTTTTATAAGCTGACAATTTGATAAAATTGCATATCATTGTAATTATGTTTAAATGGAAGTCTTGGTACAGCATGCCAAAAAGAGGATAGTTTGAGAGTTATATAACTCAGGTGCCTTATTGAACACCAGTTTCTTTCTGGGAGAATTATGAATTGGATTTTGTTTTACTTCAAATGGATGCTTTTGTGCCCGCATTGAACCTGCTGGCATTGATAAGACCTATACTGTCCTTACCCACCTGCCTCTCCATTACTTCTTGCCCTCAATGAGACAAATCCCAGGACAGAAATGGGGCTGGGATTAGGGAGATAGCTACAGAATTAGCACACAACATTCTGCTTAGAGGACAGTGCCTTAAGAGCCCCTATATTTTTCTTTAATAGAAATGCCTAAAATTATCACCAAAAAAGTATCAAGAGTTACTTTACTAATCAGAACTTTAAAATAGTTTTGGTTTTTTTTTGTTTTTTTTATTTTATTGATTTTCCACAGAGAGGAAGGGAGAGAGATAGAGAGTTAGAAACATCGATGAGAGAAACATCGACCAGCTGCCTCCTGCACATCTCCTACTGGGGAGGTGCCTGCAACCCAGGTACATGCCCTTGACCGGAATCGAACCTGGGGCCCTTCAGTCCACAAGCCGACGCTCTATCCACTGAGCCAAACCGGTTTTGGCTAAAATAGTTTTAATTAGATCTAAGTTCTAGTCCCAAGTCAAAAGGCAATCTGTTGGGTTTCTCATATAATCTTGTATTGACAACTTTCTAAATGATAATGTAAATAATAAAGTAATTGGTGGGCTGAAGAAATAGAAGGGAAATCTTCAGCACTATAAGATTTCAAAGCTGTTTATTTGCATATTTACGAAAACATATTTGAGAGTTTGGGAACATTTTTATAAAATCGCCTTTCTCTGTACAACTGGCTTCTGAATTAAACACCTTTAATTGGACAGGAACAAGCTGAAAGCTGGGTACCTAATGTCAGTGGAGTCTTCGGAAGGTTTCCTGGATGAGATCGGGTCTCAGGCTCTCGTCGCTGGCTCCTACGTGCCACCACCCACAGTGCTTCAGCAGATCGACTCAGTAGCGGACGCTGATGTCATAAATGTAAGCAAATGAAAACTTACAGTTTAACATGAGATATGACCTTCATGATCCCCTTTCCGAAGGCATGCTTAAGCTTCCTGGGGCTGCTGTTTGGTGCCTTTCTACCTGGTGTGGAGGCAGGAGGACTCATTACCATCAGATCTGCAGATAGCTTCCTTGTCAGCTCGGGATTTATGTTTCTTCCTCATTTAACTAAATTACCGTTAGGCTAAACCATTTTAAATTGTTAAGAAAAATCAAATATTGGCAATTTTATGATTCAAACTGATAGTCAAGTTTGGTATTTTTTCTTTTCACTCCCAAGAAGTAAACTCTGTCCTGCCAACCCTTCCTGACCCAGCATCTCGAGATTTTCTTTGTCCTCGCAGTCTGAGGCCTTCTCCTGCTCTGGCTATGTCTTTTTTCACATATTGTTATTTCTTACAAGATGAGTTGTTCTGAGGGCAAGGATTATGTCTTCTAGCTTCTCTTTGTAATTCCTACTATGCCTAACAAGTATGTGATCTACAGAATAAATCCAAAGGCACTGGGTTTTTCCAGTCATTTCTGTATTAAAAATAAGAATGTCAGCTGCCCTTCCATTGTAGAGGTCTGAACCTTCTCCTCAACGACAGGTCTACCATGGGGCTAGGTAAGGTAGTGACCCGGACATGATTTCACTTGGCCCCAGAGTCTGTTACCTACTCTTCCAAATGTCTGTCCTCAATTGCCACCACCGCCATCCTTTGAAAAAAGGTGGCCTGAGATCATGTGGGGCTGATACTTGTGGTATTACACTTAACCTAGCAACCACCAACTTGAAGTCGTGGTATAAAGAATACTAAAATTTGACTTCTAAGTTAATCAGTGTATTTTTATTAACTCAGGCCATTTGCCATTGTGATACAGAAACAGGAAAGCCACAGACCCGCCCAAGGCCTCCTCTGCCCTATTTTGCAATGTCGGTGAGGCTTTCCTTATCCCCTTTACCAGCTGCCCGCACATCGGGAGTCACACATGTGGCGGGTACTCCCAGGAACAGCTGAGCTTTTCCTCAAATTAAAACCATGCCAGCCCTCTCCTGTAGTTCAGTTTCACTAGCGGCTGTGGCAGATTGTTGACTTAAGAGTGTCCTGTGCATAAGTAACAGAATAAATATGTTTTAAGTACCTGATAGCGCATGTTCTTATTTTAACTTTCTGCCTTTTGTTTGTTTACTTAAAGGCTGCAAAGAAGTTTGTTTCTGGCCAGAAGTCAATGGCAGCAAGTGGAAATTTGGGGCATACACCTTTTGTTGATGAGCTATAAACCTGAAACACATTGTAGGAAAGAGCTGGACATTTTCTCAACCGAGAGCAGCAAACACATGGAAGTTCCACGTCTGTAATGTAACATTGTCTTGATTTTCAATGAGGTGAAAAATCTTAAAAAGTATAAATGCAGGTAATTGTTCCCTGCTTACCTAAAGTCAATAAAATATTCTAAGTGTTTCTTGGCATTTTTCCTAATCAGTTAATCGACAAGTTTTTATTTTCTGCAGACATGGTTTGGTTTGTTTTTTGTTTTTCTTCCTTTTTTTTTTTTTTCTTCTAATTAAGAGTCCCTTCCTGGTCCTGCTTGCATGAGTGGCTGTGACCAGGCGGAAAAGGGGAGGGGAACCAGGCAGCGTGGGGAGGGGTTATCTTCACAGCATTCCATTTATACACAGAACTAAACAGACACGCAGAGTCACTATTGCAGTTAGAAGTTGGCAGCATGGGAAAGGGGAGGAACAGGTTCCAAGTAGGGTGTCATTTAAAAAAATACAGGCACTCTCCAAAACTGGGCTGGGGGGACGTGGTCTGTTTCAACCCAAGAGGAATCAGAAGATCAAAAGCGGTTTGGGAAGGCCAGATGGTCAGGCATGGAGGGAGGAAGGAGGCTCAGGGGATGGGGGCCTGTTTAGCAATTGGGTGAAAGGATAGTCTTCCCTGTGCTGGGATCCCCCCAGCCCTCAAGTCTGGCAGGAGAGGGACAGCCTGCAACCCCCCACAGGCAGTTCTGGGGCTGCCAGATGCTCCAGGCAGGGGGCTGGAGGGGGCTCAGAAGGCTTGCCCTCCAGGGAGAGGACAGCGCTGGCCCCAGCTTCCCTGCCAGAGGGCAGCGTCCTTGACCTCGGAGCAGCTTGCTTGTAATTCATGCTTGGTCCTGTAAGCTGCTTCTTGGTGGCGTCCTTGGAGCTGGCATAGCTCGTTTTGCTCTTAAGGGGTGCAGACTCAGGGCCCAGAGATAAGCCCAGGTCCCCTTGCTCTCCTCAGTCTTATAGGTTGCGTTAGGCAGGGCACAGTGTCCTTCAGCATCTTGACGAAGGGGGCAAGGGGGTCGTCTCCTGTCTGGCCCACAGCACCCACCAGGACCTCCTCGCCCTCTTCCCGGATGATGTTCTTGCCTTCACTGGGGCAGGAGAGCACCGCCTTCCTGCGCTTCTTCACCTCCTCACACACCTTCATGTCACTGAACACTTCGATGACTCCCTCAGCGACAGCCACACAGGCCCTGATGCTGCCGGGCCGCTGGACTGCAGACATGTTTTAGATGCTGTGAAGGACAATGGGATAGAATAGCACGAGAAAGGATTACAACCAAGCTGAGTGGCTGTCAGTAAATACTTCCAGCCTAGTATTGGTGGCTTTTTAAAAGATAAATGCAATTAAAAATCTCTCCTTTTGGGTAAGAACAATTAAATGGGCTGGGTTTTACCCTCTTTTTTGCCTATTTGCAATAGAGTTATTTCTTTTCTTTTTTTAAGAGAAGAGAAAGGGAGAGAGAAACGATTGGCTGTCTCCTGCACCTCCCCTACTGGGGATCAGCCCACAACCCAGGCACCTGCCCTGACCAGGAATCAACCAGCAACCTTTCAGTGCCTGGGACAACACCCAGCCAACTGGGCCAGAGCACACAGAGTTATTTCTGAAAAACAAATTCCCCACCAGTTGTGTGCTGTGTTCCCACTGCTTCATTTTATGTCTGCCTTACCTTCGGTATGCAGAGCTTTACTTTCCCTCATTAACTACCAACCCAACGTTCAAAGTAAAAGTAGGGCAGAAAAGGGGGAAAAATTCTAATATGAACAACTAGCCAAAAAAAAAGTATTTTTCCTATTAAGTAGGGCACTTTACGTTTATAAAACAAGAGAAACTAAACATCTAAATCACAATGTGGTACTCACCTTAAGAGGTGAGATTCTCTGCTGTGCTTACACTTTCTGATATCAAGCTGTTCGTTTTCTAAAAGATGAAACATTCTTCTCAGAAAGGAGGATCTTAATGATCTCAGTGATGCTATTTTGAGAATAAAATTTGTGAGACCTGTTGTGGCACCCAGGGAAGACTTGGCTATCACGTTGAAGCAGGCGTAAAGGCGTCACAACAGTTGCAAAAGAATTGGTAAGTGTGCACATATTCCTGTGAGTACAGCAAAGCTGTGCATGGTAATGCACAAAAGCCGGGAGTTTCCAGAGAAATGCTCTATGATCACAGATTTGCAAACTACGAACCAACTTTTGGTGCAGGTTGACCCTTGCCCTTTTCAACTTGGGCATAGTCTTCCAGCCAGAATGCGTCTGAGGCTGAGGAGGAGGAGGAGCTGTCCTTGTCTTGCTTCACCATTGTCCAGTAAGGGGAAGGGGCTCTCACTCCTTCCCTGTGGTCTCCGTGAACCATGACGTCACAGGTAATGTCTGTTCCTACGCTGATTGTCTGATTCTTCTTTTTGTATTCATGCCATTCTCTGGAGATCGACATGGGTCTCCTTGCAGGATAATGCCCAGTGGACCATGGGGATTTATAATACTTAAGTTTTTTATCTAAAACAACATCTTCCTTGTCATCACTGCTTGTGAAAGAGTCGCCTTTTGCCTGCTCAGTTTTCTTCGTTGTGCTGGAAATAAAAGAATAGTGAATGAATTTTTTTTTAATCTTCATTAAAAAATGGATATTTTTTCCATTGATTTCTTTTACAGAAAGTGGGAGAGAGGGAGGGAAAGAGAAAGAGAGAAACATCGATGTGAATGAGACACATCAACTGGTTGTTTCCCGCACGTGCCCGAACTGGGACCAGGAATCAAACCCTCAGCCCTTCAGTGTGGGGATTTTAGCCTCATACTTAAGTTGTGCTATTCTGTGTTTATCTTTTCTTTGCTTTTGAACAGTGAATCTGTCATCCTTAGATTTCAGTATTCTGAATCTCAAACTCTATAATTAATGCTTAGTTAGAGCATAGTAGTTGTATGAGCAAATAGTTTAGAGCCCTGGCTTAAGTAACACTCCCTGGTACAAGGCCCACCAGCTCTATCTGGCTGCTAAATTTAAACTGATTAAACATGAGTAAAATTTACAGCTCCTCATTTGCAAATCCTCACATTTCAAGTGCTTAATAGCCACATGTGGCTGCTGGCTGCTACATGGAACAGCACAGCTATAGCACCCAGCCAGATTTCTTTGAAGGTGCAGGGCTGCAGCAACGAGGGTTCAGGAAACCTGTCAGAACTTAGTAAGGACCACTCCTGCATCAGCACTGAGCTTCTCGTGTTCTACCAAACTTCTCACATATCTGGTCCTCAAAGGGTCCCTGATACTCCTGTGCTAACACAGAACAAGCTCTCAGATTAAGTGATTTGCCAGAGTTTCAAGGCTGGGTTTCCACTTTCATTCACTGAATAACTGGGCTCTCAATCACTTAAAAGTCCTGTGGTAAGTTTAGCATAACAAGATAGACCTGTCCCTGCCTTCATGGAGTTTGCATTCCCCCAGGGCAACACAGTAAGCAATTGGTTATAAGGATTATTTCACTGAAATTGGGATCAATGCTGAGGAGAGACCAGGGTACTAAGAGTCCATATCACAGGGTCCTAAGCTTCTTGCAGACAAAGGCTCTGCAGCAAAGAGCAACAAGGTAAAAGCTGAGAGAGCCAAGTGGACTACAGGGGAGGGGAGCAGCACAAGTGAGGCTGGAGTGATACTGGAGCATTTATCCTGAGAACAAAGGAAGGTCTTAAAGATTTTAAGGCATGTCACAATTCGATATGCATTGTAAAAGGATCATGCTGTGTAGAGAATAGGGAACAAGAGTAGATGCAGGGAGACAAAATAGTGGCTTTGACTGGGGTGGTGGTAGTAGCCAGAGAGAAGTGGACAAATGTGGGAGATAACTGACAAGTCTTAGTGATTATTGTGGGGAGGGGAAGACAAGGGAGACAGAAAAATCAAGTACAGCCCCGAAATTTCTGACTTGCTCGACTAAGCAGACATAGTAATAGAAGCCAAAAGAATCAAGGAGATTGCCCAGCAGATTGAGAGGAGAGAGCCAAATATTACACCTTGAGGAACTCCAAGGCTGGGTAAAAGGGGACCAAGAGAAAGTGACCAGAGGTCATAGGAGAATCAGGGGAGTGGGTATCAGAAACCAGGGGCAGGTGATGTTTCAACATGAGTGAGGTTGGGAGGTTGTAAAGTGTCTAATGCTCAGAAGCCAAGCAAAATAAGATGAGAGGAGCCCACTAGAATCTGATGTGAAAGTTGTGGGGGAGGGGGGAAGGAGCCTGGGAAAGGCCTCGGGCAAATGATGGGAGCAAGCCCAGACTAATGCAGGCAGAGGAGTGCCCTGTCTGGTACAGCTCTTTCAACAAGTTTGGAGTTAGGGACAGGGCGGTGGCCAGAGTGGGCAGAAGGAGGACAGTGGAGTTAAGGTGGGGTTTACTAAGATGACAGAAGCTTAAAAATGCTTAAATGTTATTGGGAAGGATCCAGAGAGCAGCTGGATAGGCAGGAAACAAATGGAATGGGATTCCCAGCACCTTTAAAGGCTGACTGGTGTGGGCATTTGGAGGCAGAGTTCCCATTGGATGGTTTAGTCTTTTTCATTAACTCCAGGTTCAAGGCTCTTGTCTCTCTCTTTCTTCCTGATGCCTGTTCCTGCAGATCGTTCTTTCCATAAGGATTTAGACACCTGGGACATCGTTCTAGCAGGGTCACCAATTCCTCCTACCATGGTCCACGCAATAATTTTCACATTAAACCAAGACCCTGGGCTTCATGGACCTTGGAGAATTATGTAGTATAACAAAGATTTCCAAAAATGAATTACTTACCATGTTACTGGGAATTTGGTCTCAGGGATTAAATCATATATGTCTTGCCATTCTTGGGGTATGTCAATAAATTCTCGGTAAACCTCGATTTGCAGCACTGTTCCTGTGGTGATGCATTGCAAAAGCTTTAAAAATTCCCGAAGAGTATATCCTAACACATTGGCCTGGCCAACACTAATCAGAACATCACCTAAAGAGGGGGGGAGATTAGCAGTGAAATTAATGGTTGAAAGGAAATATTCCATTTCTGTCTTTATTGTGAAGTGTTTCCTTTTATGGGTTCATATTGCTGGTTCATTTTTGAACCAAAACCAAGCTTCAGTCTTTAATTTTTATTTTGTTTTGTTGTTAATCCTCACCCAAGGATATTTTTTTCCATTGATTTTTAGAGAGTGGAAGGAAGAGAGAGAGAGAGAGAGAGAGAGAGAGAGAGAGAGAGAGAGAGAGAGAGAGAAATATCAATGTGAGAGAAATATATTGGTTGCTATAGTCCACACCCCAACTAGAGCCAGGGACAAAGCCCAAACTTGGGCATGTGCCCTGACTGGGAATTGAACCGGGGGCCTTTTGGTGCGTGGAACAACACTCAACCAACTGATCTATAATGGCCAGGGCAGACCAGTCTTTATTTAATAAAAGCGACCACCTCAGTGACATGTGTCCTTTGCATAATAAGAAATGCATGCAAGATGTTCCTTACAGCAGTGCAATGGTAGGTAATATGTTTTCAAAACATTTCTGACAGAAGCTACACCATATATAATTGAAGCATCCTTTAGGATTCTAAAAATGTGTTTCAAATAAAATGAATGGCTATTACTCATTTTTTTTATAGATATATTTTTTATTGCCCTAGCTGGTTTGGCTCAGTAGATAGACTGTCGGCCTGCAGACTGAAGTGTCCTGGGTTTGATTCCAGTCCCCTGCGGCATCGGTCCCCAGTAGGAGGCGTGCAGGAGGCAGCCTATCAATGATTCCCTTTCATCATTGACTAGAGGCCTGCTGCAAGAAATTCATGCATGGGTAGGGTCCCTAGGCCTGGCCGGAGAAAAGGGCCGATTGGGGCCTTCTGGCTGCTGACCGGGGTCTTCCTTCTGACTAACCAACTGGGGCCTTCCTTCGTTCTGCAACACCCCTGGGGGCAGCACACATCATAGCAAGCGATCAAACTCCCGGTTTCCCAGTCCAACTCCCGAGGGGACATTTTGCATATTAGCCTTTTATATAGAGAGAGGTTTCTATCCCTTCCTCTCTCTTCCTCTCTGAAATCAATAAAAATATATTTATATATTTTTAAAATATAAAAAATATTTATATTTTTATAAATATACTAGAGGCCCGATGCACAAAAATTTGCGCACTCGGGGGGGGGGGGGGTCTCTCAGCCCGGCCTGTGCGCTCTCGCAGTCTGGGACCCCTCGGAGGATGTCCACCTGCTGGCTTAGGCCCGCTCCCTGGGAGATTGGGCCTAAGCTGGCAGTCAGACCTCCCTCTGGCAGGCCGGGAGCCCTCAGGGGATGTCCACTTGCCATCGGGGAACAGGCCTAAGTTGCAGTCAGACATCCTTAGTGCTGCTTGAGGAGGCAGGAGAGGCTCCCACCACCACCGCTGTACTGGCAGCTGGCAGCCTGGCTTGTGGCTGAGCAGAGCTCCCCCTGTGGGAGCACACTGACCACCAGGGGGCAGTTCCTGCATTGAGCATGTGCCCCCCTGGTGGTCAGTGTGTGTCATAGTGACCAGTCATTCCCAGTGGTTCTGCTGTTAGGGTCAATTTGCATATTACCTTTTTATTATATAGGAGTGCCTGGCAGCCTGAGTGAGGGGCTGATGGCTATTTGCAGGCTGGCCACAGCCCCTTCAGGGTAGGGGTCCCCCCTGGGGTGCCTGGCCAGCCTGGGTGAGGGGCTGAGGGCTGTTTTCAGGCTGGCCACAGCCCCTTCAGTTTGGGGGTTCCCAAGGGGGTACCTGGCCATCCTGGGTGAGGGGCTGAGGGCCATTTGCAGGCTGGCCACAGCCCCTTCAGGGTGGGGGGTTCTGCTGGGCTGCCTGGCCAGCCTGGGTGAGAGGCTGAGGGCCATTTGCAGGCTGGCTAAACCCCCCAGTGGGGACCCTCACCCCATTAGGGTGTGGCCAGCCTGGGTGAGGGGCTGATGGCTGTTTGCAGGCTGGTCATGGCCCCCAGCCACCCAAGCTCCCAGTGGAGGCTGGCTGGAAGCAGGTATCTGGGATTTATTTGTCTTCTATAATTGAAACTTTGGTTGCCATGAGCGGAGGCCACAGCCGGCTCAGGGCAGGCGGGAAGCTTGGCTTCCTCCATTGCTGGGGCAACCAAGCCTCCTGTTTGCTCCAGCTCTGTGGCTGCTGGCCGCCATCTTGGTTGGGTTAATTTGCATATAGTTGCTCTGATTGGCTGGTGGGCATGGCTTGGAGTGTAGCGAAGGTATGGTCAATTAGCATCTTTGTCTTTTATTAGTGTAGATTTTTATATTGATTTCAGAGAGGAAGGGAGAGAGAGAGAGAGATAAAAACATCATTGATGAGAGAGAATCATTGATCAGCTGCCTCCTGCATGTCCCACACTGAGGATCAAGCCCTCAACCCGGGCATTCGCCCTGACTGTGGAAATCGAATTATGACCTCCTGGTTCATAGGTCAATGCTCAACCGGCTGAGCCACACTGGCCAGGCCTGTTACTCTTAAAGAAAACACCCCTTCCACTAAGTGATGAATGAACGGCCTACTTTGCAGTATACCTGCCTGGCAATTTACAGTGCCCTCCACAGTAAGTTGACTATATTAAATAATTCTGCATGAAACCTTGGGAAATTAGTATGCTTTAATTAAGATTAAGATGCGTACACAGGGAATATGTTGGTTCAAAGGAATTTGACAGCAGGTCCCTACTCAGAGCACTGCTGGACAGGGAGGAAAGTGTGATGCTCAGCTATGGAGCTTCTGAATCTTCAGCAGATGGGAAGAAAACCACATCTTGACAGAAAGCCCCTGGACCCCAAACTGGATGCTAAGAAGACCAATTATTCATTTGCATCTACTTCCCTACCACCAGCAGCTAGGGCATGGGCATATAAACTAGACCCAGCCACAGGGCACTCCCACCTAGGCCCCTGAACCTGGAGCAGGAGATGCAGAGAGGTGGAAGGAGTACTCCACTTCCCAGGGCAATTGTACATGGCCCTGTGTTCTCACCACTTCTCAAGCCTGGTTCTCCAGCCTTTCTGGCAATTCTGTCAGATTCGATGTTCTAAATTCAGTGCCTTAACAGAATTGTTCTGTTGCTTGCAATGAAGATCCCTGACTGCTACAAGGGTATTCAGTAAGAGAAGAAGAAATACAGAGAAACTGCTTTTTAGAACACACTCACGTGGGTAAAATCTTAGTCTTCAGATCTAACTAGCACTAACATTCTGCCAAATGGTAATGGAGACTTTAAAACTAACATCAGATGAAGTGACTTCAGTGAAGTCCCAAAGGATGTGTTCACCTCTCTGAGTGTGGGAAGCTAGCAAACCCTCAATCACCCTCATTCCATTCACTGAGGCCCAACCTCAGAGGACAAGCTCGAGATGAAGTGCCTTCCCTGACTCTGCATCCCACGGGCTGGAGAATGGCACAGTGTGCTGGCCCCAAAGGATGCTGCCAAGGGATGCCCAGGTCATATTTCCAAGGTGCTAGATTCTATCAGAAACAAACACTTCCACCACGCTTTTGGCTTTTGGCTCAGTGGAGGCTCAGCTGCAATTCCCTCCAGACACCTGAATCTGGGTTCATGTGACACCATTCCCCCAAAGTTCAGCTCCAATGAGATCCAAGTCATATATCTGAGCTACACTGGTGGGAAAGTCAGTGCCATGTCTGACCTGGACCCCAAAATCGGCCCCCTGGGTCTGTCTCCAAAAAAGGTTGGTGATGACATCGCCAAAGCAACAGGCGATTGGAAGGGTCTGAGGATTACAGTGGAACTGACCTTTCAGAACAGACTCAGACTGAGGTAGTGCCTTCTGCCTCTGCCCTGGTCATCAAAGCCCTCAAAGAACCGCCAGAAACAGGAAGAAACAAACAAACTACTAGTAAGCACAGTGGAAATACACTTTTGATGAGATGGCCCAGCAGATGCGTCAATCTTTAGCTAGAGAACTCTCTGAACCCATTAAAGGGATCCGGCAGCCCTAGCCGGTTTTGCTCAGTGGTTAGAGTGTGCCCATGGCCTGAAGGGTTGCGGGTTCGATTCCAGACAAGGGCACATACCTCGATTGCAGGCTCAATCCCTGGCCTATGCAGGAGGCAATCAACGATGTGTGTGTCTCTCCCTCTTCTTCCACTCTCTCTAAAAAATATCCTCCAGCAGGATCAACAGCAAGGGGACTGCCCAGTCTGTGGGCTGCAGTGCTGATGGCTGCTACCCTCATGACATCGGCAGTGGTACAGTGGAATGCCCAACTCATTAAGAACTACAAGGAAAAGGCATTTTAATTACAGTTCGCGTATTAAAGAAAATGAGCACTTAGAAGGGCGGAGGAAACTCTCCATTTCGGTCTTTAACGTTGCTGAGAGGTTCCAAGATGGCTGCAGAGTAGCTGGAAGCTGCTCCCACTTGCTCCCAGCCCCAAACCAGACTTACAGCTCAGTTACAGAGCACTCAACCTTACACGCCGACTGAAGACTAGCTGACCTGAAGTTCAGGAAAAGCCACACAAGCCTGGTGAGAAGGGCAGAGCGCAGGTGGGGAGGAGCTGAGAAGGGAGGCAACCAACGGGGCTGCGGGACTCCCTCCCCTGGGAGTGTGGGGTCTAACCTCGCATGGAGATCCCCAACTCAGAGCCACAGAGACGGGAAAGGAGCCTGCGTGGTGTTGGGCGGTGGGCGTCAGTGGGGAGTCAGTGCTGGGGAGGCTCACACTGCACCCTCCAGGAAAGAGCTCCAGCTCCCAAAGCGGCAGCACCCGCCTGGGGCCTTCACTCCGACTCTGTTGGCTGGAGACCACGCTGCTGGACTCGGCCCTGTGGGGTCTGCCAGTTACACCCAGCAGGGACGTGGAGGGGCCCCAGATTTCTTGGCAGGCTCCTGGCAGAGACCCAGACAGTGATTAAACTGTGTGGCCTGGGAAAGAGAAAAAGTCTCCCCAGCCAGGAGCACAGGCTGACACTCCTCCCGCGGCCTGTGGAGCCACTG